ATGAGCAGCAACGTTCATGCTCCGGCAAGCAAGAGATGCATGCGGAATGACTGTTTGGTTATTAAAGACTGGTTCCTGCAATCGAAGAACACACGGATGCGATTGCATGTTCGATAACCGTTTGCACATCAATTAGCTCAATGAGCCACTGGCTGGGCCAATGGCAGCTTTGGTTGGCATCTTGGCAGAGACGCCCGCCGATGTTTCACAAGCCGGGGCAGCACTGTGCTATCAGCATTCGGCCGATGGGCTGAGGCTACCTTTGTGCTGCAGTGGCCGTGCTCTTCTTTGGAAGCAATTTCGCGGTCGATGCCTTACCTGGCTTGGTCTCGTATAGTGAATGTTGACAACCTATGCTGCTTCAACGCTTGTCGAGTCGTCAGATACCTGTTGTCTGTTCAAAACCTCAAAACTCCAAGAATAACGAAACTAGACTCGGAAATTCTTGTGATATAGTTTGGAATTCCGAAGTGTTAAACTTCCCGAGAGCCCAGAGCCTACGACACCCAGTTTCAAGAAGTCCAATCCAGACATCGGAGGAGAAGTCTTGCGCGTTTGGATCCAAAATAGGTTTCCTCGTTTTGCTTTAGTAGGTTTGAGAATTTTGTGAAGGTTTGGAATTCCGGAATTCCAGAACATGTTTGGAATGCTTTATAAAGTTTCTGGAATTTTAGGACTTTTTCCGCTTCCCAGAACATATCCCCAAACTGTCTTATGTCCCCACCCCACAGGAGGAACTGCCAGGCATCAAGGCAAACACTGGGTTGTCTCACTCTCACTCCCACTCTCACTATGTCACTATGTCACTACGTCACTCTCTCACTCTCTCACTCTCTCACTCTCTCTCTCTCTCACTCTCTCTCTCACTCTCACTCTCTCTCTCTCTCTTTTTCTTTCTCTCTCTCCCTCTCTCTCTCTGTATCTCTATCTCTCTCTCTCTCTCTCTCTCTCTCTCTTGGACTCTTCCTTTCTTTCATGTACTCCAGGATCCATGTCAAAGACCTTTTGCTACTCAGGTTTTTGGTTTTGAGATGTATTGTTGAATCGTTTTTTTGGAGTTTACAGTTGATTGAATGCTGCTGACGGCATTGTCCATATTTTAGCAATTTGAAGTCATTTCCGAAACATCTGTTGACAAGCTAGCTAGCAGTTACGAAACATGAAAACGCATGTTCGAAAATCCGTTTGATACCAACTTGGTTTCCAGGATTAAACTGTATGTCTAGTTATCAAGCAGGAAAAGTAGATCAGTATCCGCGGATTTTGTTCAACACTCGCTGTTCACAGAAATCTCATCCAAGACTTCATGTAGGCATATAATGCATACAATATATATATATATATACACATATGTTACATCCAGTTGGTATGAGCCTATTGTTCATAGGCATCTGCACACAAGTTCAAGTAATACTCAGTCATATCGAACAGATATGTCGCATAATTTTGTGCAGTATGTAGTGCAATCACAAAGTCTTATGTGCTTCAGGTTTACAGATGAGTATCTAAGTCGTATATACATATTTCTTCCATGTTTGTTGTTCAGTGCAGATATAACTATGCCTTGTTGCCATTCCAACCGCAAAGAGGCGGCTTCAGTAGGCCTTCAGATTGCAATCGCATATCATGTAGCACAAAACGTCAGCAGTAGTCCATTACAAAAGCTTCAGGTCTGCCTGACAGTAGACGATCGTGGAGTCAAGTTCGAGCACAGGAAAATGCAGAAGCAATACAACCAGTTTTAGCACTCAATTTACGTTAACATTTATTTCTTTTATAGTTGGCAAGCTGGTGTCGAAATCATCTCTTGTGATTGTTTCACCAGTATTTGCGTGGTATTCGGACAAGCATTGGTAAGGTTATGTATATCTTCTATGGGTTTGGTCAGTAATAAATCCTCAGTTTGGAGGTTTCCATTGCTTTGTGCCTCCTCATGAATGACATAAGCGGTAGTTACTATTTAAAATGAATTGGGGCTTAACTGGTTTCATATGTATTGCTGCAGCGACTAGCTATTCCAGTACTAGTTGAATAGTAGATGTTTATGAATATGTTGTCGTTTGTTGATCGAGCAGCTTTAGATAGGAGGCCGAGCACTATGAAACAATAAGCAAGTACTGATCCAGTTCTCACTGCATCTGGACACTAACAGAAGCAATGACACAAGTATCGTGATCACTGTTTGGAAGTCAGAAAGCATGTGCGGGGTAACTGACACAGACGTGCGTGACATAAGTACTCGATGAGCAACATGTTAACATGCGGCCAAACACTGGAACATTCAGCGAAGCAATAACACGTGTATCGCAATTACTGTCCGAATTTGAGGTAGCAGGTATTATACTGGTAAATCATGCATGCGTACTTGAGGAGTGTCTGTCACTGCAAATATTAAATACATGGATGTTGCTATCAAATTCGTGGAAGGGGACTGTCGTGACCTGGGAACATAAATATGCTTAAATCAGACCACGTCACATTTGCATGATTGTTGCTGTCACAAATCGGGGCCTGTCGCGGCGCAGGAACACCAGCGTGATTGCATCAGAACGTGTCTTTTGCGCCATGTATTTGACTCGAACACCAATTGATTCCTGTGTGGCAGTGACCCTGCTGCCTAACGAGTCTAATATTTGTACAGAATTAGAGCCAAACACACCGTCAATGACGACGATGTTGGCGCCCATCATCTGTGTTGGTAAGTTCTACACTTACGTATAATGCTTTAAAATAGAATTTCCCTGTTTTATGAAGCTTGTCTTATTGCTGTATTGAGATGTGGTATCATGGTTACTACAAATATCATTCTCCGGACTGTAAACCAGCCAAGTGGTAGGGACATGCCAATCGAGGTGGCAACACCAAGCAAACTATCATCTCCTAGAGATGGCAAGCGTACATGCGACGGTGTTTCGTCATGTTTCAATTGCAAGTTGTTGCTGCTTATGTACCTCACTTCATTGCTACTTCGGCGATCTCGGCTTAGTTCACATCTGATTTGCTTTGTCATTGTGCGGTTTATGTGATAAACTTTGCACGAATAGTATCTAACGAAGATTTGTTTGGCATTTGATACTGACATACAAGGTCTCCAGGTAAAAGATCGGTATCATAGGTTCAACATTCGGTGTCATACCTTAAAGTTTTTAAATGTAGTTAACCTTTGTTGCCTAGTTACTTAGTTGATGTTCACATACGCGTCATGTAACTATGTCTATCAACCACTGTTAACAAACATGAAAACATGTTTAACAATATAGTTAGTGTGCAATTTTCAGTTGATTATCGCTTGATTTTCACATAATATTCGAGCAGCCTGTCAGCAGTGTTTGTTTAACAGTTTGATAGTTTTCACAAGCAACAACTACGGCAACGTATATGTAGCACATAGTTGGTTGAAGCTCAGCCATATGTAACTGACATTTCATCAGTGTTCAAATACTACTTAGTTTATTTCGGTGAATATTCCCCCGGCATGTAACCCGGTATTACTTCATCTCTTATGCATAGTTTGCTACTATTGAAACAATGTCTGTATACATACTTTCTGAGGTATTCTGTATAACATGTTATGACTCCGGCGTTTAATAGGTACTTCATGTGCGTTTTTTGGTGCTATCTCCTTCCCAATGAAATAGCCTACAATCAATATCTTAAGCTGTAAAAAAATATTCAGTTTGTTTAATATTGCGTTTTAATATTGAGTGATTCAAGACCAAATCTGTGTAGATATGCATGCAAAAATGGCGAACTCCAACTGGTTACTATTAATTGAATGTTGGCTAGACAGTAGGCAAATGTCAACCCAATGTTGATTTTACTATGAACAAGTATTTACTAAATAGTAAGGGTCCAAAAAGTATTATCTTAGTACGATGTACTTGATGAGGTACAGAAGCACATTCTGTAAGAGCTGAATGTTGATTATACAGTAGGCAAAAACGTCAACCCAATGTTAACTGCAAAGTTTGCTATGAACATATGTTCTCTTAAGATTGAACACTCAATCAATATTTTCTGAGTACGAGGTATTTGATGAAGTGAAAGGTAGATGAATTAATTACAAACAACATGAAATATTGCACAAATCCACTTATCGTACATAGTGTCTTACGTGAGGTATAATGTGCATGATCAACACTTGGATAGGGTTTAGCATGTAGGGTTAAAGTGTCCGTTCTTCGAATCACACACTCCTATATACTCCTATGAGCAACATATTGGACAAAGTCTTGTACAAATCCAAGTTCCAACGCAATGCGCCGTCGTCATGCGCACGAGACCGAGAAACCGCATGCCGAGCACGGAGTGCAAGCGGAGCCACGCGGGAAGCATGCGCAGCCACAGAAAGCAGGATTCATCGCAAATCCAAAATAAAAAAATCCAATATTTTCGCGGAGATGCTATACTTAACTTGGGATGTTTGAAGTTCTGGATTAATGGACTTTTGGATTCTAATGGAAATCCAAAATTCCAAGAACCCATCAATCCAAAAATCAAAAAATCCAAATGTGGTCCTGGCATCTCTGAGGCAATAATGGATTTTGGTTTTTGCAGGAATGCTGCTCGTTTGTAGGCCCATTTTAGGGCAACACTACCTGCAACATGAACGTGAACAGATGTCCCCTTGTCGGAGATTGTCACATGTGAGGGATTGTAATTCAAGAATTGGGGGGTCAGGGCCGGGGGGCGGGGGTGACTGCACAGCTGCCTTCTTGACCGCGCATCAGAAAGTCAGAGATGTACTCCTGTCTCCAGCAACGACAGAAAAGGGTGGGCAGGGGGGTGGGGGTACCATATATATATATATATATATATATACATACATACATACATAAGTTATCACGATCACATTACCCGGCATGCAAAACATTCGAGCTACCGAAGACAGAATCCCAACTTCAAGCTTCCCAAGCCGTTTCCCTTGTCCCTTGAACATGCCCGGTGCCTCTTTGTGCGTGTTGCTGCAGGTAGTTGCGAAGTACGATGCTGGTGATGGAATGTTTTTTCAATTAGTGCTGCTTGGCCTCAGATGGTGAAGTTGTCGCTTGGTTTTCTCTGCTGTCAAGTCCTTGCCTTGTGCGCGAAGGCTCTGCCTGGGGATATGGTTCACTGGCCTTGTCGTCCTGCTGTTGCGAAGCAATCCGACCTTCTATCCCGTGGCTGCTCGGGAAGCATGCAGAGAATGCAATCGTTAAGAGGCCTCAGAGTGGCATGATGTTGAATGACCACGATGGGTTAGGGACAGTCTGCTTCTCCAAGTGAGGCCATGACAGGAGGCGTTCTGTGGTGCTCCGGAAATTGCCTCACGGTGTACATCATCAAGCAGATTGGATTGGGCCCAGGAACGTAGCGACAGAAGACTGAGAATGCCGACAATTCTACCTCTGTTCTGTGACTTGAACAGGACTGGTAACATGGGGCACAGCGGCTCTCATCATCGGCTGGGTCACGGGATTCTTTGGCCTCTTCGGCCTCCCCAGCGAGACCAGGCTGCAAGCTGGGCTTTAACCCGGCCTTGAGTTCGCTCTTGAAGGCTAGTCGTATGCACTCCTCTAGTCTCTAGTCGTCCCGTGCCATAGAGGGATTGCACCGAGCAGCTGTGATCATCCCACGCAGCTCGAAGTTGAACTGCGATTGAAAGGGCTTTGGCCTGGCAAGTTTTGCTTGCCAGCGGGGCTATAACTCCTGTATCCTGATGGGTTGCGAAACAAGGAGCAGAGCTGTCTGGAGAAGCCATGGCTCAACGTTGTTGGTCGCAACCTTAAAAAGCTCATGCTTCCGCTGCTCTTCCAGAGCAGCTGCCTGCTGCAATAGCATGCAACAGCTTCGTGTTCGGCCAGCTATCCCTAACGATCCTGCTCAGGCGTTGTGCTTGCGATGTGCGCTCTCGGGGTGAGTACGCTCGTGAGGCAGGACGGCTGTGCTCCTAGCATGAGTTAAACTTGTCTTCGGGTTCTCTACCTCATGTCAATGACCTTTACAGCAATCGCCCCTTCAGCTGGATTGAAGAGTCTGGGGATTGGACAGTGAGCGCACATTCTACTGTTACATCTGCCTGCAGATTGGCATCTCTCCTCCAGCCAAGCAAGTACACTTGCGACAAGTAGTTGACGACATGTGCAGGAAATGCACTAGACGCCATACGCCCCTGACAGGAAGAGTACTCCCCAGAAGCCGCTGCTAATCGATGCTGGACGGGTGCCACCAACGATCAGCGAGGACTCAGGTTGCTAAAATAGCTTTTGACAAGAGACTCACGGTGTCCCGAAAGCTCGACTTGTCTCTGGCAGCCCTTAGAAGATGCCGCTTGAGGCAGAAGAAGCGGTCTTGGCATGGCACACCTCAAGCTCGATGACATCCAACACCCTTCAACAATGTCGCACACTAATGAATTGCAGTGCTGAGAGACCATCTTGCAACATGTCCCGCGTTGCATGGTGCAGGGTCGCCCTATGTTAGGTCGTCTTCTACGAGCTTTTCCTTTCTGGTGTAACGTTTCCTGCTATTTTTGTATTCTGCCGAAACTTAGGTTCCCTTTGTCGGGTCCACACAAGATTTACATCCCTCTTTATCGGAACCCTACCCCAAACCTTCAGTTCTCGGCCCAAACACAGATGCATGCCGGAGGGAGCAGAGCCGATACCCTCAACCGATACGCCTGCTGATATTGGTTCAGGATGTTGAGGAAAGCCCAGCGAGGGCTTCTGCGGGTCGGGCCAAGGCCCAATGCCATGATCGTTCGGGTGCTTAGGTATGCTCGAATAACCCTCTTCGGGATATTTTGAACCATGAGGCACTAGGATCATCAGGTGGAGCGTGGGGCTGGGCACTGCCATTAGGTTGAATTGCAATAGGCCTGTTGGCTTTCCCGATTGCAGGTTGAAGATCTCAAGGAAGACTTTTGCAGGGACTTAATGTTCGATCCAGCCTCCTTGAACCTCTATGGCCCCATCCAGACTCAATACGGGGTTCTGTCATTGAATATCGTGTATCCCTGGCGAATCATATTGTATTCCTTTCTCACACATGTCTGTCAGGACCCCTATAGTGTTGGTTGCACACACACAGAGGTTGTAGATTACATATGCATGTGCATGTTTATGTAGTGCGAAAGATCGCAACTCATTTCTTTCTTTACACAGCATGAAAGCCTGCAGCAATGGCAATGTCTAGGTTGCAAGGGGAAGTTGAACTCATGCAGCGCCTACAGAGGGTTTGGGTTTGTCTCGGAGTGGCCTAAGGAGGTTCATCATGATTCACACACAACACCGGCAACCCAACACTCCGAACTAGTGGGTTCTCGTCCACCAGCAATTTGTGGACAGGGTGTGCTGGCGAGCTTGGTGGCCGGAACATGCCTCGTGGCAGGAGCGTCAGATGGGGTCGCGTTGTCGAGCTTCTGCTTTAAAATTGGGATTAGTCTGGATTGAAGCCGTTCGGCGATCTTTTCAGATGGTAATGCAACACCACGTTGTGGCGTTGCATCACTTCAGGTCACAGGCTGGATTAAGTGTGACTTTTTATTTTGGGTTCCTCATGCGAGCACATGTGACGCATGTGTCCCGAGGCTACGGCCTCAACTTCCTGCCGTCCACATGGATCCAGACACTTGTACACGTTTGAGTATGTTTTGTGTGCTACCTGTCATTCTGGACGGTGCCAGGGTTGTGAAATCGCGACCATATTTCACAGAGAGTGTCAGGAACCATGTCGCTGGAGCATCTCAAGACGGACTGGACTATGCAAGGGACTCAGTTGCAGGAGGCAGTGGCAGCAACAGCATTAACTGCTCATTATATACTACAGATCCTGGCCTGCATCCGGTTGTCATGCTGGCCTAACATGCATATCTGAGAGCACCCTGAAGATATCGCAAGCGCATGGCTAGCTGCATGCTATGTTGTGAAACAATGTCTCAGGTTTTCAATCAGACCGGTGCTCAGTGCATTTTGCGACCTTTGAGTTGAATGCCAGACATGCATGCCGGATTTGGGATTCCAGTTGTCCGCTCAAAGCTTTTTTGAAGGACCTGAGAGTGCGCCGGAGCTCTGATTTCTTTGCCCGTCCCCCCCACACAAGTTAATGACTTAACGGCGAACAGGCCTAGAAGCCCTGATCCCCAATCTCTCTTCCAGCGTCTTTGCATCAAGGTTTTGCGGCATCATGGCTGCCTCCATAGTGCATCCCGACGCTTGAGATAGACTGTGGAATAGACGGTAGAGGCTTGCCGACTGCGCATTGTCTGCAGATGTTGTACTTCTGGCAGACCCACGTGCAGACCGACAGTTCTAGCAGCCAGCGACTTCGGTGTAAGGCCTTCATGGCCAAGCTGGTTTCCCCACTGTTGCTTGCAGCACAAGGTACTTCCTGATGTACTGCGGCTGGAAGAACAACCGTCCGCAGATCAACCCCGAGATCATGCTTCCCGGGTTCATTTCGGGAGCCTTGGAGAAAGGCGATAGGAAAGTTGTATGGCACCAAGTTTGTGCAAGCACGGTGGGCCGAGCCACTCCCTTTGTGTTGATCCACGTCGCCTTGATTTCTTCATGAGACGATTGTTGAGGGTTCGTGGCACTGCTTTGTTCCCCTAGCACAATATCGGAGTGTGGCAAGATGGGATGTGAGTCCCGTGCGAGCACAAGTCAGCATCGACTGCACTGCTCAGGAGTCATGTGGGCCATAGCACAATCCTGCTGGTTCGTTGCAAATGCATCTGGGCGGCACGCAGCCCACTCACACAGGCCTTGAATGAAGCAAATCTACTGACCCAGATAGATCCCGGAAACATGTCCTTTCAGACAGGGCCCTTGATCCGCGAGAACGCAGCAGCCTAACCCAGCCATGAAGGTTGATCTGGGGTATGCAGCGGCTTTCCCCATCATCTTGATCGGCCCTGGCTTGGTTGGATCCTTATGGTCGGTGTTCCTCTTCAAGGCCCTGCCGCACAGGTTCCCAGATTTTGGGACTGGTGTAGACATGAGTAAAGCCTTCAAGAGCTTACGCACGCTGCCTTGAGTCCAGTTCATCGTGAAGAAGCAAGTTATAGCAGACAAAGCAATACTGGCACGCAGGACATTTGTGGAGTTCGGCGTCTTTGCTGAACAATTGTGATACTGGCTCTCTTCGCCCTCAGCCTTTCCTTCTGGCTCATAGACACAGCCAACCAAAAGCTCTGGACAGAAACATGTCTCAATGAGGAATCATCTTCTGCTCACGGGCTACTTTGTGCTGGCCGCAGCTTCCTGTGCCTGCATCGTCGCCTCGCGGAAGAGTGGCGGCACTTCGGCAGAAAAAGCTTGTGTAGAGTCTAGCCGGTAGACTTGAGTTGTGAGCGACCTTTTTTCCAAGCGCGCGTTGGGCTTCTGTCGACCGCATGCCGTCGAGGCTCATGCGGATGACCAGCAGTGCCTATCAAGTATCGGCAACTGTTCCAGGAGGCACGCAAGCGCTCGACGAGTTTGTTGCGCGTCCAGACCGTAGGCTCGTGGAAGAATCCCTCGCTTGTATGCAGACATGCGACGCACTGGGCTCCTGTCGCTTGGATCATCTTGCGGTCTCAGATACTTTCAGTATCTGGCCGGGCAACGGCAGAAACCGATCCGGGCGAAGATAGTAAAGCGGCAGACGCAGAAACCGCACAGCCACAGCCAAGCTGCTGTCTTTGGAGGTCGTCCAGATGTGCGGGAAGTGAAGCCTGAGCAGCTTAGTCATAAGAGCCGCCAGGTTGAAGTCACAGAGTTACCGATGCCGCAGATACATGACTTTTCGCGAATTTGCGCTTGGCCGTCCTGATGCCTGTGTTTGACTGCATCGGGATGTCTTGCCGGCATGCTGAGGAGGGAGGCATTTGTCCTCCGTCTGTCGATCCATTTACTTTGCCCAACTGGGTGCTAGACTTGGATCATCGTTGCGCTCTAGGCCATGTGCCGAGTTTCAGCGTCGAAGGAAGAAAGTCGAGACCACATGAACAGCCAGTTCCCATCTGCAGCATCTCCAGGCTTCCGGTGGCGTGTTTTGCAGCTTGTCCCTGGCAGGTGGTCCTCGTCATGACAGGAGGTGGCGGCCAAGACGTGCCGGGGGCTTGCAGAAAGCGACACAAACTTAAACGCCGCCACTCGTCGGAGCTTCTTCCAAGACAGAAGCCTTTGCAAACAGCTCGACGGTCAAAGCCACCAGCCGGCCAGTCCAAAGCAAGGCCGTGGCCAGAACAGCTGGCGATGGAAGGCACCTGCCGAGGGTTTGCATTGCTGCGTGCGCATTCCTGAGCGTCTGGGCCGAAGCTGGAAGTCTCGAGTTTCAGATCAAAGACAATGGATGCGAGGGCATTGCGGCTTGCACAAGCTTCTGCATTCTGCATGACGAAGGTAAGACTTGCGGACAAAAGCTCGAACATTCGGCCCTTCACCAATGACTGCAGGCATAATCTTCATTACCGTGCTTTTCATCTTCATCTTCCTCGTCATCAATGAGAGCGTTCGATCGTCATTGTCGTTGTTATTCGTAGTCGTAGAAAACTTAAACTCCATGAGACCTTAAAGCCCTAAAACCATAAATCGACAATGCTCGCACGCAGCACAAAAGCGGTTGCAAAGTTCAACTCCGAAACGCTGCCTCCAGCTCGAAGAAACACAAAGATGAAGACCTGAGCCCAAGGGCTGCGTGGGGGTTGACCTGCGTCGACATCGCAACATGTGCTGAGTGCTTTGCAGCATTTTGCAGGTATTGGCCGTCCTCTGCATGTGCTGGTTGTCACTGGCAGGCTGTGAAGGGAAGCGAAGATGTCACATCATTCAGTGCCAAGTCGTACATTCTGTCTGCAGCCTGCCTAAGCTGCCGTCTTCCACATTACATTGTAAGTCTCCAGGAACGAAGAGTTCAAGACTCGCCTGGAGCACGCTCTCACGAATTCTGCCGAGTTCAATGATGGCCGTGTCGTGCGCCGTGCATGGAGCATGCCATGGCAGCAAGAGCTGTAATCTGTCGTGGAATGTCGTGACACTTAGAACGACAGTAAGGTGTGGTCGGAAATGGAGCGTTTTAGAAGTGCAGCCCTGTGGCTGGAGAAAATTCCGGTGAAGGGAGATTCCGGAGTATGTTTCCAGGCTGGCCTCACCAGTGTCTCCCCCAATCAAACCGACGGTAGATCAGGCCAACACATGGGGCAGCGGTCGCCTTGTGCACAGGGGCAAGGGCTCGACTCTCTGCTTTCAGCCCACCGCCAAAACGAGCCTTCCATCGGGGCCCAGTTGTGTCACCGTCTGCTTGGAGGAAGCAAAGAAGAACAGAGTGAGGGAGACTAGCATATTCACTGACGGAGCTGTACCACCCTGCCACCAATTTAACCGAGCAGGTCGGCAGGGGCTGCTTGTCGTCCAGTTCTGCAAGCGAAGAGTAACTAGCCTGCTAGCCTGTGTGATTGCCAAACAAGGGGACTGTGGCCTCTTCGTGCAGGTGGTGCCTGCAGTTTCTTGCGACGAATTACTGTGTCGTGAAGGGAGCGCAGCAGGAACCTGCTCTGCCGACTGGTACGTAATCAGCAGGAGGAGGAGGCGGAGAGAGTAAAGGGAGCCTGAAGGAAAGGAAGAAAGAGTGCAAGAGATACAGAGGCAAAGCGAATAGTGACAAGACGCAGTAGCATTTTCACGTGTTACCAGACGGGACGGATTGGATCTTAGTACAGGTCGACAGTGCAGTGGGATAGCTTGTGAGGGGTCTGAGAGGCTCCAGCATCGTTCCACTGTTTCATCATGTTAGCATTGATCGACCTCTGGTTTCCACCGGAGAGAAGGAGGCCAGCCACCTTTGCAAGAGTTCTGGGCTCAAGGTGCGTCCGAGATGAACCAACGTCCGGTTTTCGAGACAGAGTGTGACGGCGAGCTTTTCTAACCGAAGGAGGCGCTTTCAAAAAGGTCGATCACGTGGCATCACAGCAAGCTTCATCTGAATGTGCTCTCTTTTATTGCAGCACCCCCACGAGATTTGGGGTAGACGCTAAGTCCGGATGGGCATAGGTGTTGTGGAGAGTGGAGATTGTCCTCAACTTGCAGATGCCGCAAATCTAAGATTTTCGGTCTCGGACCCGAGGTCGATTTCCGAGATTGCTGGGAGGAGACAGCATTGTTCTTTGCTATCAAAATTGGCTGCACGGATATGGTGAATGCCCTCGTCGAAAATGGTCACAAAAGCCGGACACGCGGAAACTCCCGCGACCTTCTCCAACGCCGCACTGTCCTGCTGCATCCTGCTGCCTCAACAAAGAGTGGCTTGCCATGGCAGACGGAGGTGAGGGGGCGTGAGCCAGTCATAGAGAAGTCAAAGGACACCGTGGTTGCAGAAAATGCGCGAGATTGGGTTTGCAGTTTTCGAATTGGGACTGCGGCGCGCAGAACCAGAACTCACCGGGGATCAGGCAAGCACGGCGGTGGAACGATACCTTACCAAAGGAAGCTGCAACTTTGGTGGGTGTGGGTGTGTGGAAATTGCGACACGGACAAGCATTTGACCCAAACCCCTCCCTGTTCACTTTGGTGGCGGCTGTCTCACACAAGAAACAAGCGCTGACATGCCACGAACTAACTAACTTTGTTCGGGTGCCGGCAGCCCCCAAATGCACGCGAACCCCATCATTTCGAAAGGAGGGCAGCCATCTAACACGAGAGCGAAAGTGGAGCCTACAGCAAGAAGCATGAGGCAGCACTTGACAACTCATGTGCTCAACCGACAAGGAAGCAACCACGCCAAGGAACAACCATCAAAAGGTCTCTCCTCACACACACCGGGCACGGAGGAGCCAGGGTGGGAAAGAAGAAACCTTGTCAAAACAGCCTAGCAAGCACAACCATGCCGACAAAGCTACGATCTCCACCTAGCTTGCCACAGGCACTCTTGGACCTGAGCAAAGTAGGGAAGAACAACACCCGACTCAGCCTTGCGACCCCAACCCCAGCGCCGAAGGAGGTTGCAGTGCGGTATCGGTGGTCGAGAGCTCACGAACGGACTTGCTTGACACTCCCAGCAAATGTGATGCCAGGTGCCTAAAGCATCGCACCACATAGAACGATCACTGAAAACTGACATGCTACGTTTATGCACACTTCGAGAACGGGGGACCTCACGATCGGGCACTCCAACATCGACCAACTGCACAGGGATTGGGCTGACTTTTGCTGGATACCGTGGAGGAATGTGAAAAAGACTGGGATGCTCGTTCTCCAGGGTGAACCTGACACGGAGGACTGCAAAGCCTTTGCTCTTGCTCGATCCAAGTTCCCACCATACACCTGCGGTGCTCCAAGATCACGCGTCTCCGAATGGAGAAATGCACTTGCGACAGAAGTGTCGTAATCTCACCCCACCACTGTGGGATCCGCAGAATTTTGATGCTGTTGTTGTCCAGCACGATCCCTTCATGCTTCGTCGGACCCAGATTCGTGTTTTTGGGAGGAGTCCTTGCGGTCTGTTGCATTTTAGTCCTGTCCGCATGGCGCATGCGAAAGCCAGGTACTCCAAGGAAACGATGCAAGCGTAACCGTGGAAGTTGCTCAAGAGCCTGGGCATCGAGGAGGAGTCTACCCTGCCCGAGAAGAATCATCCACATACTACATGCTTCATCGGAGCTTTTTGCGAAGGGCTGCACAACGTGACCGCGAGGACCAAACGCGACGTACCTCAGCGCCGAGCGCTTGGTGCTGCTCATGGACATCGCGGATGCCATCATTACGAAGCCAGGCCAGGCCACCAGCATTGCACAGGAATCCAACACTCATGGTAGGGCCTTAACTTCATTGTTTTGGACCGTCGGGTCACCTCGATTTGCTCTAAGGGGGTGGGACGACGGCAGAGATCTCTTATCGAGGCCTACCTGTTCAGCCCTCAGACTGTCTTCAAAAAAGGAGATTTGCGACACTGGCACTGCGAGGGCAGGAGTCCCACACGTGGTTAGTTTCTCTCTATGCTTGCCAGATCCACGCTCTGATGCATTTGCAGTTTCAGCGAAGTGAGCTCACCATGGCTTTGTGCTGCGTTGCCGGCATTACCATCCAGGTGGCAGCAAAGCAAGCACCGTCAGCATGCCGCATCCAGTCTCGTTGCTGCCCTAGGCGGTGTTCGATGCAACACGCGGGCTCCTCCACTGGGAGGACGCCGTGCCAAGCCAGCTCGGACTTTCATTCCTAGATCGGAGCTGCTGCTGCACTGCAGCAGTGCTAGCTGCCAGGCTCAGAAATCGGAGTTGCATTCAAAAGAGCTTCCTCTCGGAATTTCCAAACTTTGCTGAGTCGCTCGAGGAGTTCACAGTCCATGCTTTCGAGCAGCAAGGCTGGCTTGGGTCCAGGGAAGAACGGACGCTATTCGCACAGTCTTTCCTGGGCATGTTGCAGGTTGCCGGCAGGATATCATG